CTGCGGTCATCTGGAACGCATGCTGGTGAGTTCAGTTGGAGAGCGGTGTCACCGTCTGGGTTACGCTAACCGGAGGCGCGGGACGCTGGTCCACCTAGACATCTTGCTCCGATGAAGCCTCCGTTAGGCTCGGCTCCAGGGGGCACTGAGGGAATTTCCGCTCGGTGAACCCCTGCTCTGGAGATGGGCGCGGACTGGAGACCGGCCCCCCAATCTACCAGGAAAGCTGGCTGTGGCCTCGTCCCGTAGGACGTCCTGTTGAGAAACCGAGGCCAGATGGATTAGGACGGTGAGCCAGAATGGAGCCTAGAAAAAAACCTTCCCGCCGGATCATCCGAACTGGTGGGAAAGGCGCGGGATGTAAAAAAGGGTCCCTTCATGCCAGCGGCTCCTGGGTTACGCCGGGCAACCCCAGAGGGTGCCGTCGGCCGTGAGCAGTGTGATCGCCGATGCGAAACAAGGTGGGATGAGGTGAGCATTCGCTCAGCCCCCCTCCATTCCAGGAGGGAATGAGCAGCAGGGGGCTGCAGCTGACGTGGCCTGTCCCGGAGGAACCATCCAATTCGCTCCGAGGGTCGGCGATAAGAGGAAAATTACAAGATGGCGTTGTCCAACATGTAGCGACCTGTCACTGAGAAATACTCCTCGGCGCTTACCTTGAAACAAGACTGCTCGTCAGCTTCTCCTCGGGGAGGAGAGCTCACCGGGACGACCGGAGGTCGACATGACAATTCTTAACAAAGGTTGGTCATCTACACAACTTTCCTTCTTCGTTCTTCTGACAGTGCTATAAGCTCGCTGAAGAAAAAATGGGAGCCGATTACCCGCTCTTAACGTAATTTACACGGACCGGGTGGGGCCCACACAGCAGGTGGGCATGGACTAAATTTTTCATTGCAATGCTTCGCATATCGGGATAAACCCATCAACGACAGCCTTAAAGGGCAAAGCCTATACGAAATAGAACTGAATCTTTTTTATGGACTGATGAGTAAATAAAAAATTATCCTGTGTGTTGCATCACACTACTAATGATTGGGAGTCGGGTTGGTCCAAATCCAAAGACATAATGGATGCTTTCAGGCAGAGTATCACTGGTTAAATTATGCAGAACTACTCCCATTGAACAAGTTTTAGATGTATACTTTTATGTTGTAATTTTTTCTATCACCTTTGTTTTTTATACTGTTGAAAGCTCAGGAAAGTGATCAAACTCTTTAATGTGCAATTAGATGCTTTGAGCTGCTGTATTTACGGCCTCGTCTTTTCACTGGAGTAATACACGATCCAGCACAAACACAAGCATGTAGTCTGTCACCATTGTTACTTACATTAGAGGGGTGTCTGACACTTGAAATAAGTGTTACTGTGCTATTAACATGAAACTGCAATAGTAGCAACAAAAACGTTCTATCCATCCATCATCTTTACCCACTTCTTTCTTTGTGGGTCACTGGGGTCACTGGTATCCATATCCAGCAGTCACTGTTCGAGAGGCAGGGGACACCTTGGACAGGTCTCCAGTCCATCACAGGGACACAGAGACAAACAACCATTCACTCTCTCACTCACACCTAGGGACAATTTAGAGTTACCAATCAGCCTAACATGCATGTTTTTGGTCTGTGGGAGGAAACCCATGCATGCACAGAGAGAACATGCAAACTCCACCCAGAAAGGCCCTGAGACCGGGATTTGAACCAGGGTAACCTGTTCGCTGAGAGGCAGCAGCTCAACCTGTTGCACCACCGTGCTGTCCACAAAAACAAAAAAACAAAAACGTTCTCACTCTGGAAATTGGTTTGGAACAATGTCATATCAAGGATCAAGGAACACCGTTTCCATGTGGACAAGACTGAAACAAACAAACAAACAAAAAAACTTTGCACATCCACAAAACACAATTTCTGTGAGACTGTAGCCTGCCCAACTGTGGTTTGCAGGTGTGTCCCAACCAAATATAATCCTCTGAACCTGGAGAACACGTCCAACATCGATCTACAAACCTCAGACTGCAGAGGACACAAAGGGGCTTCTGGGACAATCAGAATGTTGCAAGACAAAATGAGAGGACTTTCCTTCAACATGCTGATGAGTGACGCTGCCTGAGTTCACATCCTGTTTAGAAAAGCGGACTCCCAGCACAAAGCAGTTCGGTTACTGAGCCACCGGACAGGAAACGTCAGCACCAGCGCGGTTCTACAATCTGACCTTTAGGGGTGCTTAGCCCCCAGTGTAGATAATGGCTCTTAGTTTGAACAACACCGTGGCCATTGGCGTCAGAAGCATTTGTAAAGTTGGGGGAGGGGGGCACACTGTTTGAATAAAGTAGATACCATTTCCTGCATTCTGGTGTATTTAAATGGGTTGTTAAACATCTACAATTACCTACATAAACATTTGATTCAATAAATATTTTAGAGAGCTCGGCACAACAAGAAGTAGCGCTAAGCTAGCGGAGCGCAACACAGACACGCTAGCTAAGATGCCACCGACGTAGCGCTCCATTTTATATTGCACAACCAAATAAACACTTTGTGTAAAATCAGCTTAGTTTTAACTGATTATGATAAACAAAGACTAAACCTATGCAACCAGAAGTTACATTTAAAACACAAAACAAAACTAAACACAACTAGCTTTAATCATTAACTTAACCATTAATCATACGAAGTATTTATGACAAAATGGAGGATTTACCTGCAGTTACCTTCATACAGATGAACATGTGTTACTTCCTGTTTATCACTGTTGTATTCAGCTGATCATGAGGTCGTCTGCTGGCCTTTATCCATATTTTATATTTTTTCAGACTCAGTTTAGGTTTTGTAAATGAAATAAACTGTATTCCACTCTTTAATGCTCAGAGTAACGTGTCTGAATTACATGTTCTTCACTGACAACGTTTAAGTCGTTCATAATACACAACCCCGGCAGCACGGTGGCGCAGCTGGTAGAGCTGCTGCCTCTCAGCGAGCAGGTCCCTGTTTCAAACCCCGGTCCAGGGGCCTTTCTGGGTGGAGTTCGCATGTTCTCTCCGTGCATGCGTGGGTTTTCTCCGGGTGCTCCGGTTTCCTCCCACAGTCCAAAAACATGCATGTTAGGCTGATTGGTAACTCTAAATTGTCCCTAGGTGTGAGTGAGAGAGTGAATGGTTGTTTGTCTCGTTTGTCTCTATGTGGCCCTGTGATGGACTTGCGACCCGTCCAGGGTGTACCCCGCCCCTTGCACAGTGATTGCTGGACATGGGCACCAGCGACCCCCGTGACCCAAAATGGAATAAGCGGGTAAAGAAAATGGATGGATGGATAATACACAACCCCGACAATGTTGTTGGAGGAAAAGGGGGTGGAGCTCCTTCAGGTAAAGGGCGTTTCACTTCGGGACAAATTGCGATCACCGATTGGTCTGTTGCTGATGAGCCTACTGGATTGATTGACAGGTGGCGTTGAGGATCCAACTCGTGCAAAAAAATCATAATTTTACTGACCTTTTTGACCGTCATCATTTATTTCAAATTTATTCAATATTTTGGTGAATCTAAGGTTTAAGAACTGAGTTTCCTTACAAAATCCTAATGATGGTTTTTATTTTTCAGGGGTGCTGAGTTCAAATTTTGGGTTCTTGCGCACCCCCACAAAGAGGCCAAAGTCACCACTGGCCAGCAGACAACTTCCTCTGCATCTCCACAAACACTCTTTAAGCTTTTTGTTTAGTTAACGCCTGCAAGTGTTAACATCAGTTTAGAAGACATTAAACTTCTGCTCCACATTTTACTGCAAAACATTCCACAACTGGACCAAAGTGATCTTTTTCATGGACAGGATGGTGGTGGTGGTGGGGGGGGGGGGGGTGCACCAACCTGTTGAACCATGAAAACTGGACCATCTTCAGTTCTGTTTGACTCATCAGAACTTTAAGAAAATGTCTGTCTTAAAATAACACATACTCAACAGAAAAGCACAGTCCAGCCCTGACCCGGCACCTCGACCAGGTTCTTTCTGACCCGTTCTGTTGTAGATCAGTTACTGTGTTTGGGATCATGGTCCAGTTGGACCCAGTTTGGTCCATGCTTCAGCTGGTGGACAGATAGACTCACATTTGACACCAGAACCCTTTGGTCTACAGAGGAGTTCATGGTCCATGCACTGACTTTAAGGAGCCCAAACCATCAGATCTCCACCGCCTGCTGACAGCTGGGAAGAGATGTTTGCTGCAGTGCATTCTGGGTAATCAACTGTCCTTTGATCTGGTTTTGTCCCTGAAGTCTTGTAGTTCCTTCAGATAAAACTTTCCAAACCTAAGCTTTGCTACCATGTTGTTTTTAAGAGGGGCCATGACCTTTGATCTTTGACCTGCTGAGGCCTGTAGTCTGAGATGAAGCTAATATTTGTGAGCACTGCACAGTCTGACCTTCAGGGTGATTTTTTTTTTTTTCTTCTTAATAATCTTTGTCTCTGGAAAAAGATAGACTACAGACAATTTGGAAATGACCTTTGACCCTTCCCAGGTTGATGAGCAGCAACACCTGCTTGTCTGAGGTCACTGCTGATGTCTTTCCATCCTGGTGTTGTGGTAACACACACCTGTATGCTCCAGATCAACAGCTCCTGGCTGATCCTGGCCCTCGGAGATCCTGTGGAAGCAGCAGGTCTTTCCAGGTCCTGTGTTCTGGTTCAGGTCTTGTTGAATGACTCGGTCACTGTTTATTTACTGTAAGGTTAGTTAAAAAGGTGAGAAACTGGACATGTCTGCCCTCACCTGTCTGTCGTTATGTACAGGTGTGTCTGAGCCGAACCCAACAGAACTGCAGTTTAAAACCAGGATCAGGCCCGTGAGGTTCCGAACTTCAGTCATTTTAAAGTTTAAAGAGTCAAACCTTCTCTGTTTCAAACTTATTCTTCGTCTAGTTTTAAGGTTGTTTATTTTCTGTTATCTCAACCCTTAAAGCTGTTTTGGACCCGGTCTGGGTCCGGTCCGATCCGGTGTCAGTGACCCACCTTGAGCGGCGCCTCCAGCAGCTTGTGGATCCCAGAGATCTGCTCGCTGAGCTGCAGGTTCTCTTCCACGTTCACCGTCGGAGGTCTCCGAGGTTCGGGGAAGTTCGTGCAGATGAACGGGTCCGAGTCCTCCAGGTACTGGACCCGGCAGGTGACGGAGGCCATGGCCGAGAGACCCGGACCGGGTCTACAGAGCAGAGGTGGTACACAGGATAGTCCGTCTGAACCAACCCGACAAACTTTGAAATGAAGCAGCGCTGAAAACACAGCGATCATCAAAATTTCGGTTATACACTCAGCTACATCCGGTTAAAATTTCAAAATAAAACACGCCCAAAATATTAAAAAAAAAAAAAAAAAAAAAAAGAAAGGAAAGGAAAGAAACTGAAGAAAGAATCCATCTATCATCTTTACCCTCTTCTTCCTTTTTTGGTTACGGGGGTCACTGGTGCCCATATCCAGCAATCACTGTGCGAGAGACAGGGAACACCCTGGACAGGTTTCCAGTCCATCACAGGGACACACACACACAAGACAACCATCCACTCTCTCATTCACACCTAGGGACAATTTACCAAGGAAGAAAGTGGCTGATTTTTCATTGAAGAAAGAGTGTCGGAAGAAAAGAAACAAGCGGTTTGGCATAAACTGGTTTGTGACTGGACCAGAATGGCAGCTCAAGTTGAGGAAGATGATATGGATTTAAATGATTGGAGTCAAGTTGTTAGTGGAAGAAGAGGAAGAATCGGGCGAGAAAATTATTGTTTGGTAGGGACACAGGTTAGTAAAAGGACTTTGGAAGAAAATAGTTCAGATGAAGGGACACCTGTGGTCCGCAAGAAGATTGTTAAAAAGGAAATTAAAGTTATTCTGAAATACAGCTGGGTCCAATTGCATTATCAAAAGAACTCAAAAAGAAGATTGGAGATATTTATTTTGCAAAAACACTTAGAGATGGGAGTATACTGGTCATTTGTAAAACTGAAACACTGAAAACTAAAGCACTGAATATTGAAAGTATTTGTAGAAAAAATGTGTGAGAGAAAAGGATTTTAGGAGAGAAGAAAGTAGCAAGGGGAGTAATAACAGGAATACCAGTAAAAGAAGATCCAGAAAAGCTTAAAAAGAGCATTTGGGGTGCAGAGGTAAATCAGATCAAAAGATTATTGAGAACAATAAATGGAGAAAGAACTGAAAGCCTTTCTATAATGATTGAATTTCAAAATAATGTACTTCCAGAGAAGGTTAAGATCGGGTTCATGAGCTTTCCAGTTAGGCCTTATGTCCCTCCCCCACTCAGGTCTTATAAGTGTCAAAGATATGGACACATTGTAGCAGTGTGTAAGGGACGGCAAAGGTGTCCAAAATGTGGGGGTGATCATAGATATGAGGAGTGTGGTGACAATGCCCAAGATAAATGTTGTAATTGTGGGGGACAGCATAGAGTGACTTTTGGAGGATGTGAAGTTAGGAAAAAGGCCATATCAGCTATGCTGAAGCTGTGAAAAAAGTTCAAGAACAAACTGGAAAGAGAGAGCTTATTGTACAACAAAACCCAACATCCCAGTTACCAAAAGAGAGAACTGAACCTACAATTACAGTGGAGAGGATCGTGTTGTTCATTGCATATGTGATTAACTGTGCAGACCAGGTAAAGTACAAAACAGAGAAAATTAAAATAATAGTTAAAGGAGCAGAGAAATTTTTTGGTATAAAAGACATTTCATGGGAGCATATTAACAAAGAACTGGGGGGAAACGGGAAGTCAGGGACATCAGGAGAGGGGGCACTCTGATTATTCTACAGTGGAACGCTCGAAGTTTAATCGCAAATGGACAAGAATTTAAAGGCTTCATTAAAAATCTTAACAAAAAAAACGTTGGTTATGTACTGTAACCCCAGATTCTATGAGTATAGGCGTAGCCCTTTAAGGCTGTCGCTGTTGGGTTTATCCCGTTATGCGCAGCATAAGCACTGAAAAAATTTAGTTCACGCCCACCTGCTGTGTGGGCCCCACCCGGTCCGTATAAATTACATTAAGGCTGCAGTCCGGTGTGATTCAACGCTGGAGCATATCACCTCTCATGGTATAGTACTGTTGAGCTAGAAATGTCTAGGTGAAAAGAATTTGTTGACCTTTTGCTCTTTTTTCCAGTTTCCTGGTTCCTTCGTGTTTTTTGATTCTCCTCGTGGCCTGACCTGGATCCCTCGGCCTGTCAGGTATCCCTCGTGTCTCTTTGCCTCCAGTTGCCAGCCTTCCTCGTTGCCTTTTGGACCCTTGTTGGATTTCCCTCTGCTGCTCACTCCTTGGACTGAAGGACCAGCTCACCTCCTTCGGGTTTGGACTGTTAGGACAAGACGCTCTTTAATCTAACCACTCTGGTCCAAAACCAGCTGATCACATGCTCAAGAAGGACCATCAGCCTAACAATGGATCATTAGCACACTGATGGCTGTTTACTATTCACAGAGGGCTGAGTGATACTAGCAATCACAGCAATGTAAGAGGGGGACAATTGAACACGTAGGCCTCCACCCCTGTTTAACGATGAACGGTTTCTTTTCACAAAGATGGCCTCCTTTACTCCTCTCTCAAACCATCGTTCCTCTCTATCCAGGACGTGCACATCTTCATCCCTGAAAGAGTGACCGCTGGCCTGGAGATGAGTGTAGACCGCAGAGTCCTGGCCTGATGATGTTGATCTTCTGTGCTGGGCCATCCTTTTGGCCAGTGGCTGTTTTGTTTCCCCGAAGTAAGACTGATCACAGCCCTCCTGACACTGAACAGCATACACAACATTACTCTGTTTGAGCCGGGGGACTGGATCTTTGGGATGAACCAGTCTTTGACGTAATCTTGGATCTTGGATTCCAAGATGGCGCCGGTGTGTAGGGCTGCCCGTCTCTCTCTCTCTGCTTGTATTTTATTTTTGTTATTTTTACAATGGTTTGTGCAGTGTGCCGAGTCATATTTTCAGTATGATCGTCGGGCACTTTTGGAGCTCCGTACTTTGCTGAAATTCCCGCGGAGTTTTTGAACAGCGGCCAGCACTCTCCCCCACCAATCCTATCTGAGATTCCTGCGTTCCTTCTGCATGACCCTGGCCTTTCTCCATGGAAGAAACGTCGCAGACGTCGTGGGAAGCGTGCAGGGATTTTGGTGAAACTGAGGCAAAGTGTGGATTATTCTATCAGGACTCGCTCTGGATCTGATCATCTCCTCTCTGACCCGTGGTGCTCCCAGGGCCCAGCTGCTGGCCAGCTGCCCGCGCGCTCAGTCCATGGAAACACCTGGAGTTGTTTACCTGTGCGCCGCACCAGCAGACCAGGAGGAGCTGTTCTTCATAACCTGCGCCCGCTGGCGCGCGCGTCTCCATCCACGGCTGTGCCTGTGTTGGACAATATCAGGATGTGTTTAATCAACGCAAGGTCTGTTTCCAACAAGACCTTTATCCTCAATGACTTTTTTAAAGATGAGGAGTTGGATTTTCTGTTCGTCACAGAATATTGGATTTCTGATGTTGAGTCTAGCGCCTTGGTGGAATTACTACCTCCGGACTGTCTGTGTTTCAATGCCCCGCGGCCATCAGGTCGGCGCGGGGGGGGGGGGGGGGGGGCGGGGATTATTAACAGTTTTTAAAGCAAACTTGGCCTGTAAACAGTTGTCCATCCCGGCGTCCCGCGCCAACTTTGAGCTGAGCGCCTTTGAACTCGGACACTCTCCTACGGTTCTGTGCGCGCTCGTCTACCGCCCCCCTCGTTCTAAGGACTTCATAAATGAATTATCTGACTTTTTGGCTGATATCACACAAAGATACACTCACTTTTTGCTTATTGGTGACTTTAATTTGCATGTGTGTTGTCAGGAGAAGCCCTTAGTGAAAGACTTTCTAGATTTACTGGACTCTTTTGGCTTAGCTCAGCAGGTGAGCGGCCCCACCCAGGAACATGGTCACACGCTGGACCTCGTTTTAACACGCGATGTCTCTGTTTCTAATTTGAAAATCGGTGACAATGTTTTTTCAGATCACATGCCTGTATTGTTTGACTTCACACCCCCTTGTCATACTGCTAAGACGTGCGTTCCTGCACGTACTACGCGTTCCATTAACCGTTTCACTGCTGCTCGTTTTAATGAAGGTTTTAACTCTGAGAGGATCGAACAGCTCTAGGTGTCTCTTACCACTGAGGAGCTAACCTCTCAGTTCAACTCTGCCTGTTTAAATGTTCTGGACCGTGTTGCTCCCCTTAAGACCAGAAAAACGAAACTTAAATCAGAGCCCTGGCTGAATGACGTCACACGAGCCGTTAGGCGGCAGTGTCGCAGAGCTGAACGAAGGTGGAGGAAGGACAGGCTGCAAATTTCTTTTCAAATGTTAAGGGAGAGTTGGCATCACTATCAGAAAACCGTTAAAGCTGCCAAATGTAAATTCTTCTCTGATTTAATTGTCTCCAACTCCCACAACCCCCGAGTTCTTTTCTCCACCCTGAACTCAGTTCTACACCTCAGTGAGCCTTCACCTCTGGAAGCCTCAACTGAGCTGTGTGAAAACTTCCTCCATTTCTTTTTAGAAAAAGTGGCAAACACCCGGGCACTCATTTCTCCGCCAGCTCATGATCTGTCCATCCCATCTCAGTGTGTGGCTGTGTTTGACCACTTTGAGCCCATCTCTCTGTCCTCTCTGGAGCAGGTAATGTGCAGCATGAAGCCATCTGGTTATCCCTTTGATGTGGTCCCCCCTCGACTGCTAAAGGAAGTTTTTCCTACCCTGGGTCCTTTTATCCTCGCTATTCTGAATAGTAGTTTATCCTCAGGTGTGTTGCCAAAGACTTTTAAACATGCTGCTGTCCAGCCCCTCCTGAAAAAACCTAACCTTGACCCCTCAGTCATGTCCAACTTCCGGCCTGTCTCCAGACTCCCATTCACCTCTAAACTACTGGAAAAAATTGTGGAGTCTCAGTTGAAACAGTTTTTGGGGGATCACGCTATCCTTGAGTTATTCCAATCTGGCTTCAAATCTCTCCATAGCACTGAAACTGCTCTACTGAAGGTTTTTAATGACAT